CGCGGGAAGGCACACAACCGGAAGGACATCCGAGCGACACGCTTGCGGAGGTTGCCCGACCCGGTCCAAGGTATTTCGCAAAGCCCGGGATTTTGGCGAAGCTCGTAATTCATTCGCGTGCTCTCTCTCTCTCTCTCTCTCACGCACGCACATACTTGTTTCTCGCGGGGAAAAGGACCTCTTGGCCCGGTGTCATCCGTCTTAGCTTCTCAGGAAGGGGGGGGGGGGCAGGTGAGGGAGAGAGAGATCTTCCAGCAGCGCTGTCAAGTGCCAGATAGGCATCTCGTCCATCCCAGGTTCGGGCTGGTTCCTTCGTCCTACTGCGCGTCGTCAGGTGACCGAGACTCGGGCAGAAGCCGAGCGTGTCGCGCGCAGGCGTAGAAAGGAAAAGTCTCTTCTGGTCTCGACAGCTGTGTCGCGTGTGGAACGAGTGCTGGCGGCGCTCGCGAGGAAGTCCCCCGAAGTTGCATTCCAGCATGCGGCGCCGCATGTTACCGAGTACCGCGTTGAATGAGGAACTTTATTTAATTTTCTTAATCTCTGGACATTGGACCCGATAGGTGCTATTGCGAGGGCTTTTCAACTTCGCGACCTGTTTTGTCTCATCGATCAGTGGGAAATTTGATAACCGGGGGGAGGGGGGTGGTCAGGATTTCTGCTAAATGTTTGCCACTTTACATAGGATTCGAATGAAACTTCGATGCGTACGAGGGATGGGTTAGAAGTTGAGCATGTATGGAGAGATGGTTTAAATGGAAACTAGACCAGATGGCTCTAACAGCAAAAGCTTCGAATTCTCCGCCTTTATTGCCGCATAAATCAGAGGGAATTTTGCGAAAAGGGAGATGCCTGAATTTCTTCTTGAGATGTAACTAGCTGCTGGTGGTTTTTCATGGGTATATGTTAAGCTTATGATACAAGTAAGGGATGGTTCAAAACTTGTATCATTACCTTGAAATGTGCAATGGATCCGATGCATGCGACTATAAAGGTTTTATGCCTGCGTTGCGTGTTTCATGAATGCGATAAATTTTCATAAATCAGAGGAATTTTTGTGACTTACTTACATGCAGCATAGATTTCAATGATTTCGAGTACAGTATAATCAGGACACATGTATTATGTAACGAAGTGCACTATACACAGATATCTGAAGCATAAGCCGTCGATGAAACAAGCGGCCAAAAAAACGGATATTGTTCATTAAGTCAGGATTCCCGTGGAGATCTGACTGGTTGATGATGCTTTTCTGTGGGATCATGAGGAAATAATGGTTCAAAAGTTGTATCAGTGCCCTGAAATTAAATTTTCGAGTACCCAGAGTTTTTTGCTTGGAAAACATGAAACCGTTTACCGATCGAGAGACGGAGCAAACTTGCGAACCAACATCATATCATATTTTAACTCGACTGATAAAGGAAGCACATTTTTCGAGACATGTGACATGTTCAATAATAAAATTTTAAAATTTTCCCACTCAATTCCATTGAAGTTCGTAGGTGTGCACGTCGAGGACCCACTTCTTCCTGGAAATTTTTTGATCGTAAAAGGAACTTATTTCACACGAGGGAACCTTATTTTTCCTTCATCTCAGTAGAAAAGTTTTGAAGCAATTCATGTAATCTTTGACGAAAGTAGATTTTCAAAAGTTTTTTTATGGTTGAATCGATCGATAATGATAACTGGCTATGGACAAATTTGTTTTTTTTCAACCTTCGCGAGTTGAAGTTCTCAAATCTTCAGGAAACTAAGCAAATGATGTGCAATGTTCCCGACTCCAAAATAGCTAGCTTTCATTGAGTTTTTTTTTTTTTTAAATGAATGTCATTTCGACTATATATAAAAAAATCATTTGCTTATCTTTAATGACGTGTGAAAAGAAAATTTGAATCAAATGAATGTGTCTTTGCGACAAGTGCTGGAATAAATACGGTGATTTTCCGCGTGATTTGGTCAATAATCAAAGGTCGAAAATTTTATTCCTGGAATTTGTCTTATGTAATGCTTACGTTATCCAGATTGCAAAACTCTCGATTTAAAATCCACGAATCATTTTTTTCAGGTCAAGCATGCCGTCTTTTTGCATGAATTAAGGTTCAAGTCAACCCAAATATCCTTCAATATATTTTATTTATCTAAATTATTTCCGATCGAATAGATGAAAGCTAGAGCCTTTGAACGAATGAAGGAAATATATATAACCGCCGAGGGCAAGATTCCAACTTCTCCAAATTTTCGACATTTCCATGCTTCTCTCATATTTTCTCGGTGAACAACGATAAAAAAAAGCGGTAGCAAAATCACGCGTGCGCCGTAGGGACGCAATTCCTCGTGCGTACTTTTCCTTTTCTTGCGTGATGCATTCGTATCATCGGATCTAGTTGCCCCGAGCTAAAAAGCGAGGAAGAAAGCATCTGAGTTGCCGCAGGCTGTCATGCAACCGTATTTTATTTTTTCTGGTGTAATCCGCCGATTCCCTTCCTTGAGAACGAGCAGGGGATCTTAGGAAACTAAGAGAGTGTTTCCTCATCGCGGTGCTGAAGCGAATAATTCGCGGTACTTCATTTGCCTGTTCCCCGTTCCTCGTTCATGGGAAATTAACCGCTTTCGGCATGATTTCTAGCTGTAAGGAAAAAATGTGCATTTCGGATCCTGATTTGCAACTTCACTCCAATACGCTCGAGGGTTCTTACATTTTTAATCGTCGCGACGCTGATTTAGAAAAAAAAACCTGATTCACAAGAAAAATCAAGTTGATCCCACCTTGTAGTAAGGAAAAACGTTACTTGACAAAATGATAACTTTTGATTTACATGAGCGACAGTACAAAACACGTAGTTTATTGCCGAAAGCATTATTATTTTTTAGATATTTTCTATTGTCTCCTTCTCTATATTTTCATTATTAGTGCAGCATTCCATTTTTTTAAAGAAACAACTCCTCGCAAGGAATTCAGTGCTGTGCTCAGTAATTTTACTGACCCAGTTTTTTGAATGAAAGAATCTTCCAGGAACATAATAAATTATACAACGCAGCATTTTGAGAATTTATGAGGAAATATGACTTTCGTAACACAGTCAACTCAATTTATGAGATTAAGAATGACTCGGGAGCCCGCATCATACGTAATTTTCTCCGTAATTTTCTACATAAGTGAGATCGATGCTTCAGTGATAAAAAATTATAAATTTTAGTGAGAAATCATTTGCATCATCTCCGCGAATATCTCTGCGCATATTGAAGTTCTTGTAAGCTGTTACACAGAAAACATGAATTTTCCGACGCATTCGACATTTCCGGTTTTCACAAAATTCTTTGCATCCATTAAAAGGTACTGTACTTCTCAAAGTTTCAACTACGTTTACTTGAAAAAATATATTGCATTTTTCGGTGCTTCTTTTCTCCGCATTGTTGCTCTGAAATGCCAACGGCTATTATTTCAACATGTATCCCTCTCCTTACTTTCGTCCGACTGACGCATTTCTGACGCTTCCCAGCGAAAAAGAAAAATACCTAACAATTATTCGAGAATAAAGTCCAGCCATTGATCAATTCGAAATTCAACGTCACCTCGTCAACTTCCAAAAAGATAGCATGGTGTGAAATAATGCTCGAATTTCGACCGTCTAATAAATCCTTGTCAATCGGTGTTCTATTTTGGGGCAGGTGTTGAAAATCTATTTCTGTTTTCGTCGAAGGAACACTGCTGTAATAGATGTAATCCAAGGGTAGGGGGGAAATGTCCGTCGTATCCCCCAAAAAATATGTTGAAATGTCCTGGGGAGAAAAAGGATGTGTTTTGATGGAAATCTCGCTTTTGCTGCCTCGGAATCGCTCGCTACAATGGGCTTAATTGTGCACAAAACTAAAGGTTCGTCATGGATTTTTTCGAAGTCGTTTGCGTCACGCGGTTGCGGAATCCTTTTCGGTTATGTCAAATGCACAGCATTGTTCTGCGATCCTTTATCCCAACGGTGAGTGGTCTCGAAAAGGAAAAAAAAAGACGCGAATCTTTTCTAGGACTCTCAATTATGTGCCATGATTCTTTTCCTCCCCGTCAACGGCGTGTTGGGCAAACTTTCGGGGAAAGATCGCTCGGCAATGAACTCCTACCCTTGAACATCAGCTTCGCGGCGGGACGATTTTCCTACTTGCGCCGAGATGCCCGTTTCGCAATCCCTTCGTGCCTCTCGTCGCGCATAGGCAATAATTTTCGCATTACGGGAATTATTGAGCTCACTGGGCCCGCGGTGCAATTTCTCGAGGTACTTGTCAGCGTTGGGCAATCCGCCGAAAAACAAAATCCGAGTCGACGGATCCCCGCTCTCAGTTCATTCCGGGCTGTTCGAAAGCGCCAACATTGACCGGGCTCGTCTTTAGTCGAGGCGAGCAGCTGTGTAATCCCGGATATTTTCTTTTCTATCTCTGTATCTCTATTGCCGTGCGCCGGCGTACGTGAGGTCGCATGCAGATTTATTCATGGATGCCCGCACCGCGGTGTCCCTTGCGCAAGGCGGCGGCTCCGTCTCTTCGGCAGGCGAATGTTGCTCAAATACACCTCGAATTATATGCGGAAGCCCCCGGGGCTCGTCAGCTTCGTACATTTTCCGTACATTCCTATCGCTTCCAGCTATCCCGTGACCGAATTTCAGCGCCCGGAAGAGCGTTCTGAATTTCGGCTGCGTTATTGGGTGACATAACGCGGCGCGGTCGTCGCACGCGGGTGTCAAAATCGCATGCGCCTCGTCGCGATCGAGCAGCGACATCTAGAATGAGCTGTTCAGCTGCACGCTTTGAAAGTCCAGAGCAATCGCGCGTCATGACTCATGAGTGACTGCATCAAATCGAGTTGATCCACGCCGTCATTGGATCCCTGAGTAGCTTTATCAACCGCTCGAGCTTCCGGCATGAGGAATTTTCAATTGGTTGTTCGCATGCTATCAGTTGTACATGGGGCACTTTCCAGGTAACATGCTGCCCTGTGAAAGCAGAAAAAAATAATGTTGAACCTTGACCTCAATGATGTTTCCCTATCTTCCACCAAAGCCAGACAAGTGAGGTACTTCTTGACTGGTTGTTTATGGGAAGAAATGAACATTACATTGGAGATTGAATTGAGATATAAATTCGTGAACTACAGTATTACGTTCTTGGGAAAGGTAAGCTTCTAGTTCAAGGGTAAATTAGTTTCAGGGGTATTTGAGAACTTTGTTTATGGATTTTAGAATGTCCTGCATATGTGATATTATCCCAGCTAATAAATGAGGAATTGGCCAACCAGTTCCCAACCAGTTCTTGACGCATTATACAGCCGTGGGTGGCACATGAGCATGATCACATCTTGAAAATGGCACAGTTCACAAATATGCCAATAAGCCAATAATCGAATACGTAAGTTTTCAAGCTATGGTATCACTGGTGTGGTTAATGGGCACCCTGGCAATCATGGGCGACTCGAATTAGATACAGCGAAAATGTGACGTACTCAAGAGTACGTAGAGTGCTAAGTTTATGTTTTATGGGAGTTGTGAAAAGGTCTTGTGTAAAATTGAAGCCACATCGATGTTATACGCGTGGTACCCAGAGAGCAGCACAGGAATGATTGCGCTAATAATTTGATTCAGCGATGATATCTATCCCAATACCGTTTTTCCCGGTGCGTTTTTGGATTTGCTCGTTCTGCTTCTGACGCACTTTGGACCTTTTGTGAAAAAAATTCTCATCGAAATCCCTCAGTTATTTATTTTTTTGTCGAACAATTTAAAGTATGCTCTGTCGTATAGAATCCGAACCGCGGGTTTCCCTAGTTAAAGGTGACTTGAATTAATCATGTCGAAACTGTGTAAGCGCAAGCATCCACGCAGCTAAATTCACTGGACTAAATAGCTGAACATACAGGCATCCGAAAACATTTTCCTGCATTTTTTTATTCGAGCTCGGGCGTCTCAAAAACACAATGATATTTCAAGTTTTAGAGGGGTTTGTGAAAATACTTAGGTTTATTGTAACATCGCATTACATAGTAATTTTCATTATCCAGAGAAAGGCAATTAGCCATTATCCCGGAAAATCACAGTTTCAGTGGGATTCATTTTGGGATTGCTTGATTTGGAAGGAAAACTTTTGATGATGATTATGAGGAGGATAAAATCAAAAGTTGTACTGTACCTGCATTTCCGATATCCTGAGGAGGTGGTTGAGCTGTCGGATTATTTTTTGTGAGGAAACTTTTCAAAATGTATTCAAATTATATCGTCTAGAAACACGTAATACAGTATTTAATTTTGATTGCATCTTTATGTACATGTTCATAAAGATAACAGTTAGTGCGTGGTTTGTCAACCGTTTCTGTTTTACCTATCCGTGAATCAGATTCTCTATTAGCTCAGACCTTTTTTTTAAATCTCTACCCAAGTACCGTATTGGAGTGAAGAAAACCACAATTGGTTCAAGACAAGAAAAGCCCTCTGGTCTCCGTGCTCGGAATCGGGCGGGATGGATGAAATCAGCTTCCAAGCATTCGTCGGTATTCAGAGAATTCGCCGAGAAATGCGATGGAGACCTCCTTTTGCGACCGGAAGAGTTTTCTGTATAGAACCCCCGATAGCATTCATTTGTTTGAAGAGAAAGAACGGAATTATAAAATAAAAATTCTATGCAGCATTAATCATCGAAAAATGCCTCAGAACGGAAATGTGGCTGACTGAATTCAGATAATTATTTTGCTGTAGTGGATGAGAAGTTTTCCTCGTTACGGAAAAATAATGTAGACGTTTACTGCCGGAGAAAGGTTGTCATTCCCGCGCGTCATCGACTGGTGCAATGCCCAAACGTTTCTTGTGGAAACTTCGGCAACTTTCCTCGATTATGTGACTTTCTGAAGAAAATTTCTGCCGAATATTGAAGTTGTTGGTAGATTTCCTTTACACCGATTTCCTCTATAGCGATATTCCTCACGCAATGAATCTTTTTGAGTTTACCAAACATTTTCTTTACGCATACGTATCTACAATCAACTTCTCTGTACACGCAACCATATAAGTTTGTATTTCTTTGTACAGATCAGTGTTCCCCAACCTTTGAAAACTAACGGACAAGCAACATTTTCATGAAATTTTTTGGCGGACCGGCAAAATTCCCAAAATAAATTTCGGCGGACCGGCAAAGTTTCATTAAATTTTGCAGACTCCCAAAAGTTTCGATTTTTGCAAAAATTGAGTTAAGCACCAATGAAGCAGGCATATAGTGGAATGCTTCCAAAAAATTAGAAAGGTGGGGTGGAAGAAAAGTTCTTCAGAATGAAAAAATTAAAATTACCTGTATTTGTTTCAGCAGGGGTAAATTCGTGTGAGGTGTTGAGGGAAAAGCCAATTTTTATTTTCTTCAGATAATTTCAACTGCCTTTGTCCTTCCAAAAATTTTGGTAAAGATAGCAAAATTCATCCCTATTTTTGATACACATATTATGCTGAAAATCTCCCGCCGACCGGAACAAAACGTCTGCGGACTGGCGCCGGTCCGCGGACCATGGGTTGGGGAACACTGGTTATAGACTACAGAGTGAGTGAGGCCACATGTTCCAAAAACCTCAAGTCGGGCATTCAGAACCTATTTTTGAGTACAGCGTCTAAATGTTTTGATCTTGTAAAATTTAAAAATCTGTTTCTCCTATGATTTGTGCAAAAATCTATTAAAGCACCTGTGCCTATACTTGCGGAAAATTACTTATACTGTATACAATACTGCACCTGGAGTTTTTCCCAAAATTGAGAAAAGCTGAAGCTCTAGTTTTATGTATCATGTAAAGCCTTGTTTGTATGGGAAGTCGCATTTAAATCAATTTAAAAATCGAGAATACTCCTGAGAAAATTTCTAGAAGCGTAAGAGCTGCAAATTTTTGGGCCTCACACGGAACTACTTCGACAAAATGCTCTCGGTGCAACGCCGTGCTGGAGATTCACAAATTCGTAAAGCCGATCCGATTCAATGCCTCACACTTTTTTCCTTATCTTCGTTTGATGATTGGTTTTTTGAATTTTCCAAAGTTCACGTCCATTATAAAATTTTCAAGATCTTCAATATGCTGTACCTGAAAAGACAGCGAGTGTAGTTCTGTTTTCCTTGCGCGTGAGCCAAATTTCGACTTTTGAATTTCGTGTTCGAACTTCACGCCTCCAAAAAATTTATCCGGGCTTGAATGTGGCCTGCAAAAAATGCATGCAGTTATTTGCAGTGTTATTAAACCCTTTTGTAATGAGCGTAATTAGGATCATAATAAGAGATTCCGCCTTGAACCTGTACCATTATTCATTAGAGTACGGTATGCGAACAAACATAGAATGATGAAGTTGAATATGATATGCATTTTGATTCTTCAAAATTGTGCACCTAGTATCATACAATCCTTTCGGATATTTTTATACTGTATTTTCAGATAATAAACTTCTTCGAGGCAAAAAGTGCTTGGGAACGTTTGAGTCTCAAAGGGAAAAGGACGATTAGTGCGTGACTCATCCCCCAAAAAAGGGAATACAGTAGTTGTTTCAAGTGCTAGTATGATTTTTTGTGACGCAAGACAGATGTTGTAAATAGATCTTTTCTGTAGATGACATTTTCTAAGATTGAGCTGTTACCTAAAATTAGCTTTTGATTATTGTAGTGTAACCGGTTTGGCGTGATGTAAGCAAGTGGAAAGAAATTGACGTGATTAAATTATTGCCACAATAACTATACAATAGCAGTGTCCGATTGGGTGCACGTATGTTTCAAGTTATCGTTTGCATTTCATAAATGAGTATATTTCACATCTATTTAGAGATCTTGTCATATGTACGTACACTATCTTATTCGCGCCTTTTCTCTGAGTAAGCACCGTGTGCTACTTATTTACTCAAGTACTAAACGCGTATTTTTTTTACATATTCTTCAAAAAAGCAGGATGCGCGTCGTGATAGGTGCTGGGCACACACTTTTCCAAAATCTTGAGACATTTAGTTGCGTGTCATCCCAAACCTTTTAGAGGACAATTTTGAATATCCAGCGACTTTTTCAGAGATACAAAAAGTTAAAGCATCTCAAATATGGCACAAGATGATTTGAAACAAGAAGAATCGAGGAGTACTCGATTTCTGGTTAAATTTTGGCTTCAAGTCAATTTCATAGGTAGTCCATTCTTGAATTATTATGATTTTTCGGGGTCTCAAAAGTGTTCTTCGCCGTCTAAGTGGGGAATAATTTTTTTCTGCAAATTTTAGGACATGAGTACCATCTCTGAAGGGCATTCCCTGGCTTCAGGGCTGTTATTTGCTTGTCTGTGTCTCTGAATTATTAAGGTCTCAGTATTTTACTGTAACGTCATGATAGACCTCAAAAGGCTTATTTTCTTAGATGGATCATTCGCTAAACCCACTCAGCTGGCTTTGAATTTATAAACATATAGAATGAAACGTAAAAGTCTGCGTTCAATGCTCAGAAATTTTGTTTCTCTCTCTCACGACTTCGCGTACAATTTTGCAGTTGAGGAGCCCTGATCAAGAGTTTGCTGGTAGACCTGAACTCCTCCTCCTAGGATATTTATTGACGAATTTTTCGATTTCCAGTGTTTTCTATCGTTGATTGGCCTTGCCAGCGTCGGACTGAGTACCATGGTGTCTCTCGGGATTTGCCACGCGATCGGCATTTTGTACGGCCCTATGCACAAGGCCCTGCCATTCATCCTGTTGGGACTCGGAATAGACGACATGTTTGTCATTGCTCAGTGCTGGCAAAACTTGTCGAAAGCAGAGCAGAAGAAATCTCTGGAGGAAAGAATCGGACGAGCACTGCAACACGCCGGAGCCGCCATAACGATCACTTCCGTGACTGACGTCGCTGCATTCATCGTCGGCGCTTCTACAGTGAGTGATTGTTTCTACAAATCAAAATGCTCGAATTGGTAAAGTTTCAGAGCTTCCGTGACATTTTCAACAGATTTCAATCAATGGTATTTGTATCGTTGTTCGCTGTCGGGCAGCAGTTTCTGTATCTGATGCGGGGGTTTCTATACTTCCTTGGAAATCCTAAAAAGTGTAACATTTGGAAATTATAGGATAAACCCGAGACAGAGTCAACAAAAATTGGTGTTCCACCAGAAGATAAATTTGATTGACTATTTTTCAAGTAATACAATGCAGTAAAACTTAAGTAAAATTGATGAAATCCCAGAGAAATCTTCAGTGACGCCTCAGGAGAGTTTAACTTGGACCATTGACGCGGGTTTAGATGTGGTACATATTTCTTCTTTCAATCAATAAACCCTCTCAGGTTTTCATTTAATCTTTTCAAATTATTTTTCAAGTGTTATCTTCAAAGATTCATCAGTTTCATTTTCTCATTTAATGCTCTACAATCAAGCATCGGAATACCGTTTCAAGCTCTTCATATATTGGTCAGGTGGAACGTAACAAGAAATAACCGAAGGAAAACTCTCTAATAAGTTCATGCTAAGATTTTTTCTTCCCAAAAAATAGCTCTCGGTGCATTTCTTCGGAATGAAAACAACCTTCGATTGGTTTTTCCCCCATTTCCCCGATTTTCTGGGCTCTGGACACGATTAAACGCGCGCTTCCAGGGGCTTCGTATAAGCAATTTGTCAGGGTGGACTGAATGTATGATCCCAAAAGGAAGGTAAATTTGCCAGAAAAGCTTTGAAAATGATTCACTGGAAAACTGTGCATTAATTGCTACTGTAAAATATTTGTCACATTTTCCATCCACAATGCATTCCTAATCTCTGATTTATTCGAGGACAGAAAATTCAAAGCAATTTGAATCTGATCACCTTTGTGGAAAGGTATTTTAACTTTCTAATATCTGTTCGAGACCATCTTTATATGCTTTTTTGTATCTCCTAACTTACACAGAAGGTTCACTGTCTGTGAGCTACGAAGAAACCCCCTGGAATATTGCTGCGACGCTTTCGTCTACTATGATATTCTCCGTACGACGAATTTTTTTCTCTGCCCTCGAGAGAACTTTTAATTTGTTTAAGCAGCTCCTCTACAGCGCTAATCGCTATATACGAATATTTTCTTTTTTGTCTCGTGGATATCTGTACTCGTCAGAACAAATACTTTTCTTCTTTAGCTGGTCGGAGAAAATGTGAGCCAATTTTCTCTTCAAGAAATCTGAAATAAATGTCATTTTCTGAATGTTATTTACAATTGATCCAAATGAAGCTGATGAGTCTTGTTGAGATATCTCTGTTCAAAAGGGTCCGTCTCCTACTGAATTCAGGGAAAGTTATGACCAGTTTTGTTTCCTGAACTGAGACGCCCACGTTATTCTTCGAGCTCGGATAATCAATCGAATTCCTTGCGCTCCTCAGGTGCTCCCAGCCTTGAGATCGTTTTGCATTTACGCGGCCATCGGAATGCTGTCCTTGTACGTTTACCAGACTACGTTTTTCGTGGCCTGGTTCACGCTCGACCAGCGGCGAATCGAAAGTCGTCGGAACGGATTCATCTTCTGCTATAAGCACAGCAAGTCTTGGAAGGCCACCTCTTGCTTCCGGCGCCCGTTTGCCTCAATTTGCTTCGAAGCCTTCGGGAGCATCCTCTTGAAAACGCCAGTCAAGGTCTGCACGATTTTTAATTTCATCTTTGGAAGACGCAGATTTCATGAGCGTCTTGAAAATGTTTTTTATTCTTCTCGCAGATGGTTGTGATAGTGCTGACGACGATTGTACTGGCGTTCAACATATGGGGATTCATTCAACTTCGGCAAGAATTCGATCGCGTGTGGTTCTTGCCGACTTCCTCGTACTTGTTCAAGTATTTCGAGAACACCAAAGAGTTTTATCCCGGTCACGGCGAGAAAGGATCGATCTTCTTCGGGAAACTGAATTACACTGCCGAGTTGGAAAACATCGACAACGTTGTCAAAGGGCTTCGGAGGCACAGCGATATCATAAAAGAAGTTCGAGCTTGGACCGACGATTTCATTCCTTGGGTTCACGATCATACTGGTGGTCTAGGTCACGCGGGAAATAATTGTGCGTATTTCCATTATTTTAAAATTTTCAATTTCATGGTCGAAGATCGATTCTTTGACAAGGATAGAGAATGATTCCTTTTTTTTTGTCTTAGCATCGCTGCCGGCATTGCATTTGTCGGAAGAAGAATTTTTGGAGAAGATTTCTTTATTCTTGTACAGTCCGAAAGGTGCTCAATATCGGGATCAATTTAAATTCAATGGGACCCTGATATGCAGGGATCCCGCTCCGCCGATTTTGGTGAGTGGAAAGTTCGGAAATTTTTTATGCAAATTTCACGCGGAAGCCAAAAAATCAAGGTTTCCATTCCTTCTTTCATTTTTCTGGGTAATCATTTTTTTATTATAAATAAAAAAAATATCATGGTTTCTGAATCCTGACTCTCAGAGGCCACAAGCATCCAAGTATAAGGTCGGTCCGCAATCTTCATGCGGATGATTTTACGGGTGATGCTTTTCTGAAAATAAGATTTTAATCAATCATAAGCTACTGCATTTTCTGTGCATTTAATTTAAAGCCTTACAGCGAGGCCGAAATTTCGTTGAACTGCCTTTTTTTTCCGAAACACGCGTCGATCGATTCTTAAAATTTTGATTAAAATTTAAAATAATTATCGGTGTTGCAGGTGTCAAGAGTCGACTACCAGCATGTTTGGATGAAGGGACCGGAGCAGCACGTGCCAGCGATGCATGTGGTCAAAAAATTGGCTCACAATGCAGGAATATCAACCGGTAAAGAGTAATATTGATGAACTTGAATTATTTTTTGCACGATACTAAGGGGCCGAAAGGAAACATTCTTGACGCAGATACATTTTAGATTTAGAAATTGTTTTTATCAAGTAATACATGGTCTGCCAGCAGTGCCAGAAAACGATATTGTTTGGAGAACATTAGAGTGCCAGCATGTATCTGGTGAGTGATACTAAATTTTGATGCGATTCGAAATTTTGCAGGTGATGGAAAAGTGATAGCGTGGGCAAGAACGTACCTCAATTGGGAAACTGATGAAGTCATTCAGCTCGAGTTATATAGAAACCTTGGCATGGCGCTGATGTGCGTATTTTTTATGACTCTGCTCCTAATAGCGAACGCAGCAACTTCAATGATGGTCTTTCTGTGCGTCCTGATGACTCTGGTGAGTGAATCTGATTCGGGTTACCCGAGTTTCGTTCCCCGATGCAAATGAAGGACCCCGTAGTCTAATCGAATGGCCTGAATGCATCCAGGTCAACATGGGTGGACTCATGCATTGGTGGGGCCTCACCATCGACACGGTCTCGTCGTTGTCCTTGATATTGGCGATCGGGTTGTCGGTGGATTATTCGGCTCACGTTGGTCACATGTTTATGACCCTCACCGGCACTCGGGAAGAAAGAGCCAAAACCACTCTCACTGCAATTGGACCTGCAGTTTTTCACGGCGGATTCAGCACTTTCCTGGCCTTCAGTCTGTTGGCAGGAACGGATTCTCATGTGTTCGGTACATTTTTCAAGGTAAGGTATCGCGCATCTTTCGCATTTCGTGACTTTTTCTGGGGGCTTTCGTTGTTTTTATTTTTACTTCTTTAACGTAATATACATGTACGAGGAATGGTTCAGCAGTTTATTAGCTACCCTGAAATGAGGTTGGCGTATAAAGTTTCTGAGTCAGGTTCATTCTATTAACCACAGCAAGCAGCGAAGTTTATAGGAAGACTCGAAACAAGCTTCTATAGTTTATTTATTCGATAAGGGTTGCATCCTCGACTTGCTGTGCAACTTTTTCACATCACTCGACTTTTTACATACAACCTGCATGCTTAGCAGCGCAATCACTCTCAAGCTCTGAATATTTTTAATCAAAATATTTTTTCCAAACGTAGGAGATTGTCCTGAACAATTTTTATTCAATATTCGATGTCACTTATTTGGACGGCCTGAAAATTCACAGAAAAGTTGCCGATTAATCTTTGATTTTTCCTATGAATCACGTTTCGAGAATCATACTCCAGTGTTTTTTTTTTCTACGAAAAGCTGGGTCATGAGTTTAATATGAATTTAGCTCGTATTCATTTTGAATTTTCTTCGCCAGAGGGCATACCTTCATCTGACGGTCTGAGTCATCGATCCTCATTACTGCTTTCAGGTGTTCTTTGGCGTAGTTATGTTCGGACTTTATCAAGGTCTTTGCTTTCTGCCTGTGATGCTCAGTCTTATCGGTCCGGCTCCATACGAGTCGGCTGTTTCGAGAAGTGAAATTACGGCATTGGAGCGATCATCAAACCATGATCACAACAACGACAATCATCACCACAAGCATATGAACCATGGGTCGCAACTGGCCAAGTCTAATGGGCATTCGAACCAAGGATTTGCTCTGAATGAAATGGTAAATATTCTTCGCGCGAAAATCGATGTGAAATTCTTTTGCATTCCGGATTTTTATTGATGAAATTGGCGCGTTTTCAAGAGACAACAATATGAGGAGAGTCAGCCCTACGATACGAAGAAATCGTTCGTGTTAAAAAAAATTAGAAGTCATCCATCAAGCTATTAATGCAGCAAAGCACTTAATTTTTGTGCTGCTCATTTTTAATATGCCATTCTGCCAATTTCCTCCTCATCCAAGAGAATTGGTCGCGTTTTCAAGGAGTATCCAACAACCTCAAGGCTATTTTAATGACTATTATTTTACTTTATACGCAAGATTATGAAGACTATATCCAGGAGTCCTTCACTAAATGCCCACATGATCCTTCGAAACTGAAAAAAATCCGTTCCCAAGAACACAAAGAAAAACTTGGAACAATTAGCATCGTAAAAAGTCGGTAAAAGCCCTTTTTATTCGGGCAGAAAATGCTTGCCGAAACATAAAAATTCCTCACTGGATATAATTTTTTTGCGATGCAACAATGGGATTAATGTTGGAGGATTTTGAAAACAAACCCGGAAAAATCTCGTTAAGAAGTCGTCCTGGAAAATCTTCGACTTGGGCTACTCTGTCCAGATTGTATTTTGGTGATCTTTGATCAAACCAAAATGTGCCTTTATGCAAAAATGAATGAATAAGAAAAACCCAGGCTCCACCACAAGATGTAAAAAAGAAAACTCACTGATGTAAAGGGTAATGTTGCATGTACAACGCTTTTTATATTTTTTTACAAGCAATACCTTGCAAAGTGCCAGTTAATCACTGCTACGGTGATCTGTGTACTACTGGTCCAAAAGTCTTGATATTCCAAATGTTCAGTTTTTTAAATTTGCGCAATTCAATGTGAAGCTGCTGCATATCCAATGTCGGATTTACGCGCATAGCTTTTCATGCACCTTTAAGCGGCAGTCCCGACAGCATCAGAGGGCATGGAAATTTTTTTTTTTTTTGTGGAAACGCGTCCAATACCAAAACAAAACCCGCAACTGTTTCTAATAAAATGCCCCGAAAAGTAGAAAATACGTGGAATCGGAGGAAATCTCAGGTTCCCGCATGATTTGAAATTCCCAGCAAAGGTGCGTCACACTTTCTGGCTCGGAAATGAGTCACGAAGGGGGTACAGTATTTTGTTGCTATCATCGCATTATCTCGAGTAAACACTGCTTAGATGAGACTGGAAGAACACTACTGCACGATACAGTCTGCAATTACATACTCGAATGCACATTTTAACTCAACTGTAAGATTGATTATAGAGCCATCCCTGCGGGGGGAAAAGCAACCTATGAGTGCGTGATGTATTTGTAAGATCCTGCAGTAAGAAGTCATGGTGTGCTTGCTGTAAGTTACAGGGGAACTACCGTATGAACGAAATGCCTGCGTGTTTCAGAACCCCGGAACCGTCGTGCCGTTGTCTAAACTGGACGAGCATTTGATCCGGTTGGCCAAGGGAGGCCTGTCCATGAACGGCTTCAGGAATGACGTGGAGAATTCCCCTTGGCCGATGCTGACGAGCCTGAACAACCACGTGAACCTTCGCGAAGGCAAAGAGAACAACCACGACTGGACCGGGACTTTTTCGTCCAAGCCCAAGTGGAAGTCCTCTCCGAAACACGGCCGCAGCATGGCGCAACGCGACCAACCCGACGGCTGCGAGGGGCTGTCCTTCACCTACCACAACGGGAAAGCGTCCGCCTACGCCGCCATGGACGAGGCGAAGATGCTCAACGGCGCCGCTTGTCCCGTCACTTCCCGCATCGCGCTCAAGACGAGCAGCCCGAACGGATCCCCCGGTGCCCACACGGCCTCGGGGCAAGCTGGAGCTGGCACCAGCAAGAAGCCCGCCATGCCGCTGAGCCCGGGCATCCAGAATTTATTCCAGCACCAGCTGCCAGGCGACGAGTTCCCGATGCGCCCTCTGGTGCATTCCCACGAGAACTCGCCGGGGTCCTGCGATTCGGGCGTGAGCAGCGCAGGCCACCGGCGCACCGTGCGCCCGAGCCACGGGTCCCCGCCGTTCAAGACGCGGGATCGGAGCGAGCAGAGATCCGTGTCGAGCAGCAAGCCGTCGCCGACGGACTCGGACAGGCTCGGCGACGCGGTTCGTCAGCTGCACTCGATGCCGCTGGAAGCCAGCAAGGATGATTGGGGGTTGCCGCAAAGGTATCCGGTGCCCGGGTTCTCCGGGCTGCATTCCAAGTCGCTGAACCGACCCGGCGACAGGAAACATTCGACTCACCGGTGGAGCCACGCCGCCGGGGGCGACGACGCTTGGGGATGTGATCCGGGTAGCCTCACCATGCCCTACATCCCGCCGCCAGATTATACACCTCCTAGTCGCAGAGCTCTGGGCCACCGGTTTCACGGGAACTCATCCCTAGAGCCCAAAGGTAATTACGAGCATATATTCTTCTTTCACCTGTCGACTGGACTGTAATCAAGTTCGCTCTTATACAAAGAGTCTATAGAGATAAAATGCCGTCTTTCAGATTTTTCGTAGATTTGTTTCACTTTTTATAAGAAGCATTTTCCTCTGTAAGATTCAATTTTTTTTTCGGCTCAGTGCAATTTTCTTCCTTTGATCACTGACTCATCGGTGCGGTGGAACGTGCTAAAATATGTCGTGCTCTCGACTTTTCTCCAGGAAGAGGAGTGCGAAAAATTCCACAAAAATCCTTATAAATGCTTGGATTTGACTCCAGATGTAAGCATAATTATATCAGGGAGTCATTTGATCAGAATGTAATTATATCAAAGGGTGTGGAGACGCTTCTTCTATACTATATAAACCAACGATCTCCCGCCCCAGAAAAAAATAATCTAGAACTAGAGCGATGTAGGCCTATACTCGAGATTACTGTACAGTATAAACTCAAAAAATACAATACGATAGATATTAGTTCAGGAAAGCTAGCAGATTTTGACGCTATTTACTGTAGAGTGCAGACCCCTTTCATACATTTTTTTGCGGCCGTCACGAAATTTGTTTTTCGCATCGCACTAAAATCCAATGTGTGGTCTACGCAGTCGCTTGCTGGCGATGATGGCTTTAATATGCCATAATTTAAAATAAAATAAAATCGACGGGTATTCTCTAAATTCGGAAAAAGGCTGTCAGTGACATTACCCAGCCAATCGGGACACGTCAGTGCTATTCAATATAATTTCCATCATTCCAATGGATTTCTCGATGCAATGAATCCAATGCATGTTGCATGTGCATGTTCTCACGTAACCTTCAAATTTGACATGGTTAGAACATGTCGGAATCATTTTCTCGTTTCTATTTCAACCTGGGCGAGAAATTCATTAATTTNTTATAGGTAGCCAAAGAAATTAGGAATGATCCCAATGCAATGCTGTCAAAAATCCTGTAGTCGCAAAACTTCGAGCGCCACCATTGTAAGTGACGCAGCTTCCGTATACCGGAGAAAAATTCCAAATTCAAATATATATTTCGGGGATGGTGTTAGAACAAAGCCTGTGTTGAATAAATTAATAGGCTGTAGCTCAAGTACATTAAGGTACATTAATGGAAATATCTCGGCCGCTAAACTTGAGCTCAGGCCGGAACGTGCGTAAGAAGAAACACCATTTTCCGTTACAATTTTGTTCCCCAAAGCAAGGATGTGGAGGAATTTACCACTATATTAGAAATCTTCGCTGTATAGTATTTGTGACACTTTTAGAAGTTCCCAGAAACGAACAAGTTATCCGCAGCATCCTTTCCCGTGTCAAGAAATACGCATTTCAAATGGAAAGGTCAGAATTTCCGAAGAAAGTCACAGCCAAAGACGAGATCTGTAAATTTATCGAGATGCAAGTATTCTTCTGCATTGAATTTATCCCTTTCCTTCTGAAATTTCAGTAGAAGGCTGTAGATAGGATTTTCATTGTAAAATATGAATTTATCAATGAAAGGAAGAGGAGTTTTTCTGACAAAGCGGACTACAGTGACGCCTTCTCTGACGGGAATTCAACTCTGATTTCTCCGACTTGCTCCAATCACTTCATCATTATTACTTGCTTCATATCTTCAGCTTAATTCATACTGGTTTTCAACAACCTCATTCGCCTAATTGCTTGCATCCAAAATTGTGAGAATTGGAAACGAAATTCCACCAAGTGTATTAATGCGGTCCTTTATCTGGCGATTGAAAACGAAGAAAAACTGTCTGAATGTGGGCTTTGATTGACTCTTACAGCGGCTGAAAAGACTTCGTGACGCCTCTGACTTCCCTCTGAATCTTCAAAAAAAAAAAAATGATGAAGCTGAACCGACGCCATGTCGAAATCTGATATCAATCAACGGCGCTACGTGCAAGGAAGTCCGCGACGCAGGAATGAACTGTTCCCCTCCTGCTCCGCAAATGCGTCACATTACGATGCAGCCGAAGGACCAGTCAGGAATTTAGAGCGAGGATTTTGGGAGCGAGGCTAACCGCAGGTGCTTCAACTTGCTTGGAGGTGCATGCGTGTATGAATGAGCGTAAGATTAATATTTAGGTATGGGAACGGTTCGGCAAAGAAGAGATGTCCCGCTGAAATGTGATATTTCCGCCACCTCCGTCGACTCGCGTGTAAAATTCGCGGGACTCAGAAGGTGGTCATTGTCTGTTCTTTTGAAAGCAATTCATCCTGACCACGCTATTGTAAAGCTGAATTTATTGTTATTTTTTTTCCTTGCTGCGCGTCACGAGCAAACTTGTGATCTCTTGAGATTTCCTTTTCCTTGCAAAATGTCAACACATGCACGCGTGGCTCAAAAGAATCGGTGATGTGGACTGAACTGAGCCCCGTAGGTCGAAAAGGTTCGTTCTCGGAATCATTTGCTATATTAATTTAATATTACGCGAGGAATCAAACGGCTGATACTGATCGGATGTTGGTACGATTGCGTTAATTTTTGAACGGAAATCCGAGTTTTGTAAAGATATGCGCAAAATCATTGATACATTGGGATTTGTTGTAAAGTTGGATATTGAGCCGCGCGTTCAAGGTTCCTTGTGTGCGTTTTTATTTTGGGCTGCGAAAGATTCAGCAATGGAAAAATTGATTTTCCGTCGGCTTATTTTGCTTCGGTGCGTTGTGTTTTTCTCTAGTTTTATCGGACGTCTCGATTTTTTACATCTTTTTTATTTGAGTGTCGATGAATTACGAGGAAATCTCTGTTGTATGAAGGGTTTATGTTGCGAGGGGTGCCCAGTCCTCCGTAGCGCCTCGCATTTAGAGTCTTAATGGGTCCAATTCTGATTTCTCGTTCACGCAGTTTTCGCTTTTGGCAGCCCCAAGGTCAATCTTATCGAATTTAAGTTTCTATTTCTTCTTAGTATTCCAATCCGATCCGAAGAAAGGGTCGTTCCTCATGTTTCCTTACAATATTTACCTATATACCAGCTCTGATGTAGGCGAAAAGAGCGGATTTGAGTTTCTATGGCCGATTATGTCTCTTACGCTTAGCGAGGCTTTCGACGGATATGTATTATATGCTAGTGGTAATAGGCCCTGATTTACTGCGTGCTATGTTCCGATCTTAATCTGACATAACGCCAGATGGACTTCAACGCTATGAAAGTTCATGGTCACGTTGGTGGCACTCCGTGTTGTGCTTCTGACATGATGGATTAAATGCCTTGATTACGTATATTTGTGTCTTATTTCATTCCTGAATCCTTATTCGACTTTAGCTAGTTTCTGCCGGTTCCAGGGCTGAGATGGTCTCTTTTTCTCTTCCTGCTGCAATCCCTGCTTTAAATTCAGGCCCGGATCGTGCATCAGTTTAACGTGATGATCTGCAGCGAATTTAAAAGAAATTAACGTTCAACGAGCGACATCTGCGCGACTACGCTACAAACGCAAGACAACCCCTGCCCCTCACACGAACGTTCGTAGAAGCCCAGGCTGTTTATGAACGTCTTGCTTCCCATTTTCCGCGAAACCTGGAAAACCCAGCGCCAAGAATCGTTTTGAGCTTCCAATACGGGTGACACGTACACGTTTCTTTCAGATAACCTGCAATTGATACTTCACCAATTAATCAACAGGTGTCGTTTGCATAAAAGGTCAAGCATTGCGGAGTGGGCTCCGGAAGCTGACTAGCTAGTTAACGATAGGCGTCCATTTTACACATTGAATTCATCCTTCGCGAACTATTCCAAGCATTTGAAAAAATTAAATTGATCACTGACTTTCGAACTTTAATATTCAAACCAGAATCCGGTTCTAGAAAAACGTTCAGATGATGGTTTCATTCATTGCGTTGATTAATGAAAGTCACATGTCCTAGCCATATGCATCTTCCTTTCACCGATAATAAATTTATACTGATCTCAGAATTATCTCCTAGTTCTGAAGGGTATGTAAAACCCCCAATTCAATTTTGAGTCGAGTTGCCTGAAGTTCTCTTCGCGAAGAGAAGGCAAATTTAGGCTCCTAAAATTTCTAGTTTTTCCTTGATTTATCATGCGATAGATTTGTGCTGAAGAATAGAAGGGAAATACGATGGAAAAGTCTGCTGAGATTACTATCATGCCTCACCATGTTTAAAAACGTGGTGTTTTCTCTTGTCAAATTTGGAGTTACAAACTGCAAAAAGGAAAATGTATTATTTATGTCTGTAGAAATTCATTTTGCGGAAAATGGAATAAAACAAATGAAAACATCTGGGAATCTTTTCGCAATCAGTTCCTCTTCCAGCTATTAATGTACTGTACTGTACATGGATTTTTTTTGCCAACAAAGAATGGCAAAACATCTGCGAAAAAATTTCTTTGGCGTTTATTCTTCATGCAATTTTTTTTTTGGTGGTGCAAGTGGAGCCCTTCATCGTGTAATGTACTGCAGCTTCTTTCTTTATAACACAAACTTGGGCTTCTTGGGTATCATTGTAGTATGAGGTCACCTGCGTCATAATAATTGTCTATTATGATTCAGACGTCTAAATGAAATCAGGGGGAAATTGCTTGACGCGAGTACTTGAATGAATGAAGAATATTTAGTGCTGTGTCACGCAGCTGTTCTGCTTGAAAAGATTAGTTAGCTTTAGATAAGGATTTGCTAGACGTGAAGCTTGATTAGAAGCGTCGTATCGCAGTTGCTGAGCTCATTTCAATCTGTACATTTTGGAATAATCCTAGATAACCTCTTACAATGATACTCAGCTCATATCGCTTCCATTCATTCATAAACCGTGTACTCGAGTCAAAGGGGCTCATCTGATTTGTTCATTCATTTAATGCTCTTCAAAAGTTTGGAATTCTGTTTTTTTTGGGCGATATTCCGTCAAATTCAGGTAAAACGAAAATGTGGTTCTATGTATTCGTGGGATTTATTCAGTTTTATCTGGTGATTTGGCGGCGGAAAATCCTCCAGCCAATTTTCGACGTGTACCATCGGGAAGGACGATGGTATCCATTGAAGTACGCCTTCATGCTTTCGGTCGTGACGCTGAGACGAGTGAGTTGAATCGTCTGAAATTTGTACGCCAAAATTTCCTCTTCTGTCAAGTGTAAGAAATGCTGGAATTTTTGTTTATTCTCTCGATTTTGTTGCCGGGAAGAAAACGTATTAATGTATGGCCTGTGTGTGTTTGCTTTATTTTTCGCAGTGGAAAGCGAGACGGAACAACGAAGTTGTCAGTCCCAAGTATGACTTGGATCCTCTGAAGCCCCTCCAAGATCATCCGAAGGTCGGCAAAATTTATTTTTTTGGCCCAGTCTTTTCACTGTTTTATACTCATTTCTACTCTTGAACTACAATACTGCACATTCTTGCAAGAATAACGTAAGAAAAATCATGAAGTTTCTATACATGAGTAAAACGATGCAGGTATTTTTGTCGATAGATTCCCCGAGGAGACGTGTGTTTGTCTTTCAAGGGTATCACGTTGGAGGCATATACAGTAATGAGGTCCTTGTGAAGTTCAAAACTGTAAATCAAGCGCAAAATTGGGAATCCCAAGTATATTTAATATGAGTTTAAATTGAGCTACAGTATTCGTAGTGCAAATTCAGCACTTTAAAAAAGAAAGCTGAACATGCGTCCAAATTATTGCCGGTACAATACTGTACATCCGTATGAAACGGGCACGCTATTTTGATCAACATTTTGTGCGTCTGATACGGAGATACTTTTTTCTACGAATTCATTTTTTCTTTCAAAGGTCTCGAACGGGACTGTATCTTCCATGAGTAAATATCGCAGTTTTCTCTTGAGAATTTCAGGCTATCGATGCGACGTATATAAATGCAGCCAGTCACGATGGAAAATACCTCGTCGTTGGAACTGCGAGACGCCCTCATGGGGTGCTCAACTCATTTCTGGTTGTCAAGGTGAGGCTGAAAAGAACAAGAAGAACAAAGATCGGCTTCTTCAGCAACACTTTCATTACTTCTTCACTCGAATTCGAAGATCCCTGGAGTAGGTTTGCTGGAATCACCAAAAATTCCAGACACAATGCTGTTTCAAGATGAAACCGCGTCCCCGTATTTCGGTGCTGAAGGCATTTCACTGACCATGCTGAAGCCATTGGAGGAATGGGCTGTGAATTACGACGGCAAAATGCGCCTCCGGTAAAACAACTCATCCACTCGCAAATAAGACGCACTTCTCTCGTGAAATTCGGCTCGAAAAAATAGGTGGCGTCTGATTTACAAGAATCGGAATTTTTTCTACCGTATCCATCATTCGGAGACTTCCAAGTCGTGTGGCTTAATTCCTCCTAACGAACAAAATCTACGGAATAGAACTTTTATGAAAGTAAATTTCACAAACCTTTAACAATATTTTTTAGTTCTCGGGCACAATAATTTCTGTTGGACGCTTTATTTGGCAAGATTAATCTGGAACATGAAGCACGATGAGTTAAAATAAGAGCCTCATCCGATTGTGAAGAAATGTAATGTGATGCAGGCAAATCATTTTCATTTTCAAGACAACTCTCCAAGCAAATACGGTATAGGGAGAGCAAGAAAATCGGAATGCGCATTGTCGAAGATCAAAATCCGTATTTTCTTCCGCGTATTTGAAGTGGCAGAGAATTCAACTCATCCTGCTGGTTCCGTTTTGCAGTACTTCCGACGGAGAACGGAGTTGCACGATTCAACTCCGAGCCAGGTGGGTCGGAAAACCGACATGTTTCGACTTCGACACGGATTTGCCAGTCACAACGATTGCCCGCAACATCAGCAAAGAACCTTGGAGTCGCGAGTATTTCCAGATCCTCAAGGAGTGAGTGAGAGACTTTCCGCACTTCCTAAATACTGCAGCAGAAAAATAACAAGAATAATGCATGTCGTGATTGCCGAAAACTACGGCGCTTGACGGACTTCAGCTGAATGGTTCCTTTCTCGCGCCCGGAAATCTGCACAGAAGATATTTTCTGAAATTAGCCGAGCTTCCGAAATGGTCCGGGGAACGAAAGCACGGAAGCAGAAACGAGACTATATAAAAATAAGCTTTCGAAGCACCGAACTTTTGAAGAACATGAAAGATATTTCCCGGAAGGGATCATCCGTATCTTCGGCATGCAGTTCGAAAAAAAGTTGAAATGTGTGGGCTATTATTCTGGCGAAAGAAACCCTATTGTACTCAGACCAAGATTTTTCGCATTTTGAAATTCAGCATTTGAAGAACCTCTGCTTCGTCTCTCATTTCGAAGTTACGGTATTCTGGCTCATAAATCAGTCAAAGATGCTGTTCACCATCTATTTTTTTTTCAAGAAGGACTGTTTCCGGACTAGATGATCTGTCCGAAGAAGTTTGAACTATAAATACAGTATTTATTTAAATAGAGGCTCACTTTCTCCCAGAAAATTATAAATAAAAGCGGTGGTGCGGCACGTACTCGAGAAACTCAAACATAGACGGTATTGTACTGACAATGCGTTCTATTTTCAAAGCAATGTCGCAGATATCTGATTTCCTCTTTTGGATGTACAGTACTGCATAAATAATTTCATTCCTTAAAATGTCAGAGGCAGAAAAATTTTCTGTACTGTACCACATTATTCAATACTGTACTCCCACAAAATATATTTCGATGCGCCATGGCGAGTAGAGAATCAAGTAAATAAATTATTTTATTTAAAAATAAAAAGATTTTTATGTGATGGGAAGTTCATTATCATGATTCACCCATTGAAGCACATTTGAGCTGCAAGCAGGAGTATGCTGACAAAGTCTCAGCTGGTTTCCAAGCATTTTATACACTAATATTTCATTAAAAGGCTCGATAAGTGAGGCATTGGGATACTAATTTATTATTCATCAATTCAATATCAACTTATATGCTTGAATAAAAGGAAAGCTGTTGTATTGTACTGTTCGAATCGTAAAGCGTTCATAAAGTTCCATACGCTGCCTTTTCTTCTGAAAAATTGTACAGTATATTAAATTTATTATTCAAAATGCCTGAATAAAAAGGTAAGCTGATATTCGAATAAAATGCTACAGTATTTTTATTATTCGAAGTATTCTAGTATTATTAAGACAGGGTTAATCTAATAAAAGATCTTGAAACTAGCAGAAAATTATCAAGCTTTCGTATAATTTCATATGCTGCCTTTCCCGCTGATATTGGTGCGTTGAACACGAACACTTGGTGTATAAACACGAATGAATACGGTAATGCCCGCATATGCATCACAATATGATTTTTTTAATGCAAAAAGATTTTTTAAGGGAGCAATTTCATTATAAATCCCCGTGTTGTTGTTTTGCTACGTACGCAGAAGAACCATAATTGCTCTGAACTCCCCGACTCGGCGTTTGCGTTCGTGAAGTATAATGGCGTCAATTATCCAAGTTTATCTGTTGTTCCCCAAAGTGATAATCAAGTTGTTTCGCGTTTCTTAATTTTCTTGACAGACTTTCCCTCAATCATTTCATAGTTCTTGACACGTCCGGTGTTTCACCTTCGTATCTCGTCATTATTGTGTCCCATCTCCTGGGGTCATTGAGGTTACGGAACCGATGTGACGGCTCCTTGATTTTCGGGCCAATAATTTGATAACGAGGGGTAAAGAAAATCCGATGAGACGCAAATTTTGCGCCCTTCGTGTGTACAACCCCATTAGCTAGAAATCAGATAACAGAGCGGAAAACTAACGCGATTATATCATTTGACCAATTACAGTACTTTCTCAATCATTTCAATGCAAGTTTACCTCGAAAGCACGTTGGATCTACAAAAACTCTCGTATGGAACACAGTTACCAAATGAAGTACAGTACCATAAATCTCAGATTATCCGGGCTTCGATCGACGTCACATACAATTAATACCGACCAAATTCCAATAGAGATGGAAAAACGGCTCGTAAAATTGTAAAAATTGAGACAAGTGATCCCCCTTAATCAACTTTCACTTCACATGGAGATCGATATCAATAAAAACCACCAAGAGCATGAGAAGTTTAAAAATTGGAATCAATAAAAAATGAAAATACTGTACTGAATAAAAATGTCCTTTCATCATTGAATTTTTCAATGGATCATTAAACTTTTCCATCGTTGAAAAAATAATTTCCATGCTTTGTTTGTGATGCGTCATTCGTTGAAATAGAAGCCGATAATCTTCGAGATACTGTGGTGAAAACGTCAATAATGTTATGTCGAAGCATAGGTGAACAAGTTTTAGTAATGCTGTACTGTAGTTTACAACATTCAGTTGGAAATTCTGGCAGCAATGACATCCGGTCGCAAGTCTGGTTGGAATAATTAGAGGTTTGTTGTACTGTGATGAGATGAACATCAAGCTTGATGATGAGACAAATTAATATTGACCGCATTCAGCATACATATGTTCACCAGGAACGAAAAAAAACGAAGGTAGGAAGATTTAGATCAGAGGTTCAGAAAAACGATAAATTCACGCATGGAAGACGCTGCTGCTGAATGAATCAATTCCCTAACAGCTCAAGACCTGGACAAACTGGTCGAAGTTTTTCTGCCGTTTCAAATAATATTTTCAGCGATTCAAAAATAGAAAAAATCATAGAAATGTATGATCAAAGAAATATTTTTTTTGAAGTACGTGGAGCTCAGCAGATCAATCGAGGTCGGTCGGATGGGGTCCGGAAAAGAACTAGCATTCTTGGTATGGTATTTACTCGTCATTCGATTACAAAATAAATTCGTGTCACCGTCGACCTCGAAGAAACTCACCCAACTATACCGACTGAAGCACGCTTTCAGAGTGATGACATCGGTAGTGAGACCCTAGGTCGAAAAGGCTCCTTCCATAATTTCGAGCTCACATGTGCGATTGAAGTTCTCATTTCCCTCTACTTCATCTCCTCAGCAGAAACTGAAGAACAGTGCTAATTTTTTCTTCAATCCTCGCTACAGGTCTCATCAATCGCACATCGAGCAAATGGGCCGAATTAGAGGCACTATCGTGGTTGACGGGGTTACACACACGCTGGACCTGGATGCGTTCAGGGACCGAAGCCACGGTGAGTACTTGCCTGTAAGATTTCCCTACGAACAACAAGGCAGAAAATCGAAGTGCTATGGCCTGGACAACAGTAATAGAGGAAGAAATGTCCTAGTTCCAAAGCTTCAAAACAGGTTGGCTGGGCTCTTTGTTCCGCGACTTCCTTTGTTCATGTGTAGATAACGTTCTACACTGTTGGACCTCCTTGGATCACTTCGTTCCACCTGATACACCTAGATTCAACAGTCTTTGTTTAACGGAGAAACTTTCGAATAATACCGTACGATTTCGACAGTTAGCTTCAGCATTTCATGCAGACATAAGTAACGCGGTTATTTTATTGGCTCCGAAGCAAAAATTATCAGAACACAATGCTGTTGGGAGAATCCGGCAGAAAAAAAATTACTCGGAACAAATCGAAAATGCAATAAAAATCACAGCAGATGGAATTTCACAAGTAAGTAAAATTAAGAAACCCTTTAAAATATGATGCATGCTGAATGCCCTACGCAAACAGAAAAATGCCATAATCTGATGCATAGAAGTAAAATTAAAGGTAAGAGTTCGCTGATTTTGTTGTTGCTGCTGATTGCGCGAAACTGGTTTTCATGAAATGATCATTTTGATCATTATGTGGAAGACAGGAATAACTTTCACTCATTCATTTAGTGAGAAATTCAAGGGAACTCGTATTTGAGCCCAATTCAGCTTTTCTCCATCAGGATTCAAACTATTTGAGCCATTTTTTCCGGTTTAATTTGCGTCAATTTTTCCTGCAGCACTTTATCTCCACGGATTTTAACTTTCCTTGCATTATCCCACAGTGGAGAGCCATATGTTATGGCGGATTAGCAGAGATCATATGCATTTAAAAATGGAGAACCAGACATCCAGCACTTTTTGGCGTTGAAAAAAAGTTTAGTTTCTGAAAGCGTTTACTTCATTCCCTTCCAATCTTTGGAAACGAAAGATTAAAAAAAATTAAAAAGAAAGAAATAAAGATTTAAAAAGAAAGAAAGGATAAATAAAGAGAAAACTACTTACTAGAAACTTATGCTGGTACGATGCTGACCTTGTTTGGCTTTGCCTCAAATTTAAATTCTGGCCCAGTTCGAGAGTCGCTATTCAAGACCAGACGAAATCCAGCAGAAACTTCTTCAGCCGGCGTATAATTCATACCGCGAACAATACTGTATAACCAAATTTATTCCAAGCACTTGATGGGCTCGTTATATTTTTGACGATTTTTACTTGTCTCTGGACTTGTGATTCCTCGAAGATATTGAAGCGATTTCATGCGAAATAAATCGCAGCAAATTACGGAACGATGGGGAAAACAAATCGTATCCCTGAACATGACACCTTGCATAAAAATTTTGCTCTGCCACTTGAAAAAATAATAATAAAGTGTACATGTTGTTCTGGAAATTTGCGGGGACCTTAAGTTGTTGTTGCTCGATCCTCGCGCGAGGTTGAGCACATTTTCTGCAGGTGATGGGGCAATTCCAACAAAGACTGCATGGAGAGTTTGAATAGAGACAGCCCTAATGGAAAACTTGGGGTCAAGGGGGCAGGGAGATCAGGTGGCGCCGACGGGGGGGAAAAGATTGCTTTGTCTCGTTCATCTGCTGAGGGGTGCGTTTTGCAAAGTGCCAAGGAACCCAGCCATTTTCTTTTCCTGTTCGCTCAGCTGTTACAGCAAATGTAACTACTGTAGCTGTCCCGAGAGTGAGCTGGTCATTTATCTCGGCGGTTGGCATGGATTTCAGCAGCCACCTGTTGTTTTGAGATGACGGCTACAGCGCAAAAAAAAAATTAATAAAATGCACACATACACACACACACAATAAAATCGGGACGTGCATGCATAGATTTTGTGCAGCTCATGATGAGAGGAAAAACTCTCTGTTGACGAGTGTCTTCTGAGGAGCCGTTTCGCTTTCGCAGAAGCTTTCTATTTGACATGCTGGATCCACCGGACGTCATTGTCACGATTTCTCACGATTCCAAGTGGAGGGAGACTATTCGAAAGAGTTTTGTCATTTCTCATCAAATTTTTGCAGGAAAGTTCCGCGAGTGGAAGAATATTCACCGGTACGCCTTCAATCTGTATCATCTGGAGGATGGGTCGCATTTCCAGGCTGCTTTCATTTCGCACGTCAGCACTTGCTCGCAGTACGTAATTATGTGATCTCGGACTGAACATTTGTGGTGTGACGATCGGATTGCCACAGGATGGAAGCAGGGTTCATCATGACGCCTTCCGGAGAGATCATTCCTCTTGAAAAGTTGGATTTCCCCATTTGGCAGCACGGCGAAGGCGGTAACGCTCCACAGGACTACGGCTTCACCATAACTGCAGGCAAGAGTGATTCGATTAATCATAGCATGACAATTACTTACTTTCCCTGGTTTTCACGCGCCTTTGACTTCAATCTTTCGTCCAAAATGATTGCGAGTCACTGAACTACGGTTGAATGAGAAAATTAATCGTCGGTGAATAATAAGGATTTCATTTTTCTCGAATACGAGACACATTTTCTCCGCTCTCGGAGGGTAAGTCCCCAACGAAAAGGTCCCGGGGACTGGGTGGAAAAGGAGCCCGCAGCAAACGGTCCCAGGGGTAAACGGGACTCGGAATCAACAGGTGAGGGAGTGATGATCAGTGGGTGCCCATATTTAGGAATACTTGTACAGTACATGGAAGGAACAAGCTTCACGCTATTATAAATATTTTATTCCTTAGAAATATTGGTTCGGAATGTTGCATTCGTCGGAAATATTGGTAAGAATATCGCGTTTCTGCTACAGCAATGTTGTTTTTAAAATCCCTGAAATGACATGAATAATATTTTTTTTAATGAACACGCCTCATCAGCCTACAATGGTGCTTTTGCCTGCTGTAAGTATGAGTTGTTGAAACACATATCAAATAAAACTGTCCATCACTGCCTCACCCATTGACACCATTGACCCGCCTACCCCCTGGGGACTTTTTGTCGCGGGTTCCTTTACTACTTTGTCCCTGGTTGGGTACTTTTTCATTGGGGACCTCTTCTTGAGGAGCCAGTTTCTCTGGTTTGATGAAAAAAAGAGATAATAATGGGGTGTACCTTAGCATTGATGGCATCTTTGAGTAGAGTCAAATGTCAAGCTGTATAGCTTACAAGCTGGGGTACCCAGTCACACTTGGGCAATGTGCATAAAACCCTCCAACTCAAAAATATCCAACGAACTACCTTACCCTACCAAAAAAAACTATCCTCTTCGTGTTGGGGGCCTATGTGTAGCCCATTTCTACAGTTTTGATGGCAAATAAATAAATAATATGGTGTACCTCAGCATTGATGCCGCCTTTAATTGAGCTGAGTCGCATTTTGAGTTCTATAGCTGACAGAAGGGGGCATCCTAAGTAATCTTAGGAGTAACCATGGTGTGCGTACCACCGGTACGTTGAAAAGTCCTGGTTTAAGAGATGGAACGCAGGCTTCCGATTCAAGTTTCAGTTCTTATCCGAAACATGCGACGTCACGAGATTGTATACGACGGAGACTATGCAAAACCAAAATGAGTCGGTTGCGAAGGCGAAACTCAAGCGAGGACGTACGTGACTTTTGACAGGTGGGAAACTCTACGACGTGCAGATAAACACGATCGAAGACGACCTATTCGAGACGGAGCTTCGATTCGGATGGGAATGGGAAAGTCGAGTGATCGAAAGGTACAGCAAATGCACCATGAACGGAGTCAAAGGGTGGGGAGTGACGGAGTGGGCTTACCGGAATTTTTCGGGCCGGCCGGAAGAGTGCGCCGCAGCTGATCCCCCGCGAGTCGCGCTAATCAACAAGGGTTGAGCCCCAGCACCTGGCCGGAATTTCGCTCAGCGAATTTCCCGGACGTGAGGAAAGAAAGCCTGCATATTCATTCCGTCGCTATTTTCCTGCACGTGTAAAGTTTCGCAGAAGAAGAGAGAAAAAAAAAGTTTTGCTTTCCTTGCTTTCACCGCGGAGGAGATTGTCCATGGCTGTTCCTCAGAGCAGTCCGCGGATGCTGCGAAAATCTTCCTAGCTCCGTTAATTTCCGACAAGCGAGCCTCGCCAACTATTCATACCATATTCGTTACTTTCACGAATAATACAAGGCAGTCTTCGGCCACACCCCCGTCGCCCGAAGAGCACCCACAGCCACAAGAACGCGGCCAACACTCGGCCAAATATACAGTATAATATTCGGCAAAAATAGAAATCTACGCACGAAAGAACAATAAAAATACGGCATTTTCATCCCCCAAAGGTCTTTCAACTGTCCCGAGTTCTCATGACGCCCTGAACTCGAAACAAACCTGTAATTCTTCAATCGTCCGTAATACTGTACATTCAGAAAATGTAACCGCTTTTGGCCGAACCAAAGTCGCGTTTTCCCTCAAAATTTTCCGATGTATGTGCGTCCTTTGTGCACTTTTACCCCCTAAGTGGTCACCTGAGCCAGGTTACAGCCTACACCCTACACTATAGTCGGTCAGAATCGCTCAACCGTGATTCCTTAATTATTCGATGATGTTCCAGTAAAATTCACCGTTCCTCGACAGTGGTAGTCGAAGTCGTGTCCTCGCGATTAGAGGACGTTGTTTCCATCATGAGTACGACATGTTTAAGCAGATGTCGCGCGATACGTACAACCATCATCTCAAAGAACGGATGCACGCATGCGGGGAGTTGCCCACTTCCGTCGCACATCTACTGTATATACTTCGATATTCGCCAACGTGGAAATCTGCAAAGCTCCCCATTGATTAGGGGTAGGCGTCTCTCTAAAACGATTCGGCCAAGAGTGAAATACGATACGATCCTTAGCTCCATGACCAGGAGCGGATTTTGTTGTCCGAACTGGACAACAAAATGTACTGATGGTAGAACGATTACGAAAGCTTTTTTGCATTTGACTTCAAAAAGAAGATCCAGCAGGCCCGAAGAAAATTATTCTCAGTCGAATGAAAGGAAAATAAATGGATGATATTCTGGTATGTTGCGAGTTTTCGGCTTTGGGGATAAAAAAAATCATTTGCAGAGTGGTGATTTTAAATCTGAACAACAGATGCACTCATTTCTGCAGGGAAAACACATATGAGATTGATGAGAAAGTGGCAAGAATGAAAAGACTGCTTGTTCGGATCGCTGGTTCAAGATATGAAGCTGAATACTGTACTTCGTGATCCAGGAATGCTGAAATATGAGGATTACAGGAGATCTTTCTTGCTGCCGTGCAAAAGAATTTTCTAGCTCCTTTCTAGCTAGACATACGAACAACGAAGACTTCAGGATTTTGTTTTCATTTTTTTCCCTACAACTGTCCACAAGACCACAACGACTTACAAAGAATTCTTCGAAGTCCACTACTTGTAACCGGTCGCCAATTCATACTTTCGGAGCTTTCTGTATGGTTGATCGAATTCAGGTGTTTCCAGATTTCGACGAAAGGAGCGATTGAGGTACGGTATCGACTCATTAACTGCGTCCTAGAGTTAAAAGCAACCCACGTACGTCAAATTCAGCTGCTCTTCGCACTCGAAGTGTGCATGCGATTGTACGCGGGCTGTTCTATTCCTAGCCACCTTGGAAACAAACCGCCCCGCTGTCGAAGTTAAAAATAAAATCAGGTCAGGGTAGGGAATCTCCATTCATGACGATCTTCGCAAAATCATCGCATCCTGGCAACCTAGACGCGACAAAGCGTCCGCGTTTCCACTTGAAGGGTTAAAATCTAGGATTTTCAGCCGGTTGTGTGGGAACCACGATTGTGGTAAATGAGATGTAAGTTATAATTGTCCGTGAAACGAATGTCAGTTACAGTATATCATGGTTTCTGGGATTCCTTTGTTGATGGTTCAAGTCAAAACCGACCGCCACGAAAAATTCCAGAAATTAAAATTGAAATGTATGTACAAATATATTCAAGCGTCGAAATTAAAAAAGCAAAACATAGAATGCAAGTCAAGTTTTCGTCGTCAACTTCAAAATTTGTAAATCGAAGAAAGCTTAGAGCTTGAAGTGAGAGGATTACTCTATTTAAAAGTACTTCTTTCAGACCAAACGTTTTAATTTAATACTGTTTCAAATGCACAGATTCTCAGAACAGTTAATCATGTTTGGTGACACTCGAATCCATTAAAATTTTTAAATGTATATCTTGTGGGAAATCATGCTTCGCGCAATGGCATTTCTGCTCAACCAAACTCATAATGAAATGAATTACTGTAGCTTCCTAATGCAGTGACCCGCTACATAAGCTGAAACCCGAAGACAGGTGTCCCAGACCCAAGTGATGCACCAAGGAAGGGAGACATGCGCCCTGCTCTGCCTGGAAGTGGTACAATGCACAAAAAGGTTGAAAAGCCCCCCTCAACTTGCGGAATACAGCAGAAAGACTTCTTTAGGATTCCATGCCCAACCTTCCTCTGGTGGGAAATAAATTTGGAGCTGGCGGGGTGGAGGTGAGGGTGCAAGGGAGCCCCGCTGCTTGTTCAGGGGTGATTAAAGGGCAGAGGCTGCTGCGCAGTTCGGTCCCCCACGTGTATAGTAGACCCTCGTCGCGCAGGAATCTGGTTCGCCCCTTGTTTGCTCTCCCCTACTGAGGGAGGAAGCAGCAGCTGGGGGGGAAACGGCCCGAGTTCTGGGTGCCTCTCCCCATGCAGCTAACTTATCCGCAGGACCCAGCCCAACACATGATCCGGACTGGGTAGCTCGAGTAACCTGACTTGTGGTTTTGGAAACCTGAAGGTTTCTCGGATGCACAAACGAATTGACATGCAGATGTTCGCAGGCACCAGAATAGAGCTTGCGGCACTGATGGCATGACAAACCGTCTTTCATAAAATAAAATAAACCACGTGGTTCTGAAGCCTTCCTCTGGTGGAGACAGGATATTATTGCAAAATTCGGGGTCCAAGACCACAAACAAAATCTATACTGTTAAACATAATTTTAGTTTGCGAAAGTTCATTCTTTTCCTCTTGAGGCAAAACATTTTTAGTGAAAAAGAGAAAATTCCTCACGAGGTGGAATTTTTTGTTTTGCATTCCTACCACAGAATGAACATCCAAGGATTTCTGATCAATATTCTTTTTATAAAATAAGCCAATGGTCTTTAGCCAATCTTGAATTTTGCAATCGCAGTACCCACAAAAGCACTCCTTGCTGTCTTAAAACCACTGTTGATGACTTTCAATTTTCCAGACACCTTGAGAGTTTAGCATTGTCCATGGATGCTTCAGAATCCTCATAAATACGTACATGTCTTTTTTTTACTCGCAGAGGAAACTCTAAGGACCGCTGAAGAAATATGGAAAATTGCTATGGTACGAAAAAGGCGTTTTCAAACTTATTTTTTTCCAACTTTGAATACTTTTAGAAACTTTCCTCACACTTTTTCAACAGTACTTGCCTTCACTTGCACTCTCTTCATTAAAATGAAATTAATGTAACTAGAAGTACAATATCTTTATTCTACATTTAATGAAACTTTGGAATACTATTCGGACATTTTCCACTGCTCAGACACGTTTTGAACACCTCGAAAATCATGAATGCGTTCTACCCAGCGAAAATTTTATGGAACATATACTATACAGTACAGTACTGTACTCAGTTCATGAGCATGTTGCGCAACATGCCCATTCGAGTGGCAGTTGAGTAGTAAAATGGATTCGGCAGAAATTGAACACAGGAGGGAACGTGGCGTTTTTTAACGAAAAACTGGAGAAGTGCTTCGCTCGAAAGTACTACGCCGAGCCAGCCATAACCGCGGCTACTCGTTGCTCTAGATCCCTCGAAGGATAACCGAGTACTGTACCAGTCAAAATGTATTTAAAAAGCAGAAGATCCAATCGGGAACCTATTCGGCGTCCGCCAGCGGAACCATGTGTAAGTGAGGGTTCGAGGATGGGAGGGGAAGAGCTCCACGACAGGACGTGAAGGGAGAAAAAAGTTCTCGTGTTTTGCCCCAGTGCACGCCCGGGGTCTTGGACCCTTGTTGCTGGGCCCAGGCCCACGAGGGTACAAGAATTTCCGAACAAAGCGCGCAACATGGGCAAATGGTGGAAGAAAACCTCCCTGAGTCCCCAGGCGAGAGATTATCCATCTCCATCTTCAACCTCCTGAGGTATCATTCGATTATGGTATCCTAGCACAGTCCAAGGCAGATTCGCTGAGCAACTTTTCATTCGGTAGCAGCAGCTGAACACTCGCGCGGAATTGCTGTAAAATCGGACTGAATTTTGTTCTCAGCTTTTCGAGAAGCGTTTTCTGTAGTTGAAGAAATGCGAGTCGTTCTTGTTTTTCGGTTATTGGGGCCATCGATCGCCGTCCATCAAAAGCCTGCAGCCGGAATTCCGTCCATCTGTTTGTTCTCATGTTTTCTCGAGCTATTAAACGCAACCGGGCAAGTTTATCAATTATTCCTTCAATGTCGGGTGGCATTCCAACCTCACTTTTCTACGGACCGCTTCCTTGATCACTCAGACGTTTGCTCCAGCCCTACGATGTTTAGTTCCTTTCCAAACACGAGATCATGCAAATGCTGGAAACAGTTGCTCTCCTGGACCCCGTCAGTCTTTTTAATTTATGAGTCTTGACGAAAAGTTTCATCCATGACAGGAGTAGTACTGCAATGTACAGTACTCTGTTCCTCGAAAATGAGGCAAGTCCTATGTTTCTTTTTTCTTGGGAAAAAACTCGGAAACTGTATTTTAAGAAGCTTTATCTCATGGGATAAACTGGCTCGTGTACTTGAATAAACCGTATACTGTCGGTTACACCAACAAAGTGCAACGACATTTTTCGAAGAACTGCAGTGGCCTATTCAAAAGAACATGTGGCCCCTTGTATAATGTACTGCATGTCTTCCTAGTTCCTACGTAGGCATTTGCAAGTTGAACTTGGACGACTGACATATTTGTTTGCATGGGACAATAGACCTCATGAAAAATGACTGCCCTTGAAAATAACAA